TTCTGATAAGGGTGTCCAACGGTCAGTGCGTTCTCTCCCAAAGATATATTCTGTAAATGATTTTGCATAGAAATAAAGATGACACACAAAGAAGGACAAGGCAAGCTTGAGTTCTCCAGCCCGTGCAATGGTATCTACGGTGGCCAATCCAAGATGTTCAATGCGGTGACGTGTGTCCTTGGGAACTTTGCTTACAACCTGTTGGAAACAGCACGTGAAAAAGTGACTGAGAGGGAAGTTAACCCTTAAAGTCCCACTGGTGACCTAGAGAGAATTTCTCCTTTCACATCAGTACGATATCAAGCAGACAAGTAATGAGAATTAAAAAAGTATCAATCAGGGGATTATTAGTTGATCCAATTCCAAATTCTCCAAACTAACATCACATGAAATGTATAGCAGACAGTAAAGATAATTATCAATGAAATCTAGGGAGTTAAAAGGTTAAATAAAAAACAGAGGTGACTGTTGGGTGAACATTTGGTGCATAAATTGACTTTGAGGAACCTTGTTGTCTCAGTCTTTACAGCTACATTATGGCTGTTCATTGTTCTTTAGGTTGCACTGAATATACACACATAGGAATGCTGGGTGCAGGAGGAGTTTTGTGTTAATGACAGGAAATGTCCTGCTGTCTGCCCTCAAGAACCACACTGCCCAATGGTGTATGGGGTTTTGGATAGAGTCTATCACCCTCCCCAATTTTCTAACAACCTCCCAGCCACTTCAAGGACCATTTTCAGAATTGATAAAATTGCTCTACCTGTTCATACACCGTAAGCACTTGATCAATGGCTCGTTCCCCATGAGCATGAATTGCAATCTGGGTACCCTTCTTATGGTAGGACTGAACAATTTCCAAAAGCTCATCTGTGGTATAATTAAGGGTGCCGTATTGTGGAGATTCGGGGAATCCAAGTATCTCAGTGAGATTGGAATTCAAATATGGCTCCTGTACTGCAGCAGTACCGCAGTGAGGGGAGCCATCTGCAATAACCTTCACACCAGCTACCCACAGCTTGTCAGACCCCTCAATGATTGGTTCATCTTGGTCTAGGCTTCCGTCCATTGAATCATCGATTCGTAGCAAGCTAGGACAACATTGATAATGAGAGCGAGTTGAAGATTTCTCTTCCTTGATAGAATTTTCAGGACCGTAGACCACTTGGTACAGGGCTAGGCGGATGGGACAGTCTCTTTGTTCAGACTCCTTCAAGAGGAGGGTGTCAAACGCTGGGTTTCTTTGGTAAGCCATTTCAGTGACTGTTGTGAAGCCCCGAGAAGCAAAATCTTTCCATTGGTCTTTTATTTTTGTCTGTAAATCTGAAAGTGTTGGTTGTGGTGCATAGCTTGTGACACGTTCTATTGCATACACCTCAAACAGCTGACCAGTCAGATGTCCTTCATCATCTTTGACAAACACTCCGCCATCCGCATTTTCGATTGAGTCATCTACATTAGCCACCTTTTATCACCGACAAGAAAACACTGAATGAGTACTTCAGTAATTAAAGGCACTAAGTACTATTTCTGCTATGGTCCCTGATGTTCTTTAATGAGAAAGTAAAGGATACATCCTCTTCGATTATCCAATTCCTTTTAAGGGAGAAGGTAGAAATTTTAAGCAATTTAATTTCTGAAAACAGTGAGCACTTAGATATTGACGTTTTCTACCAATCGAATTCGCCTTCAGCTATCTTCGTAGGAACTTTTCGAGCGCATCACTCACAGAGCTCCC